GCTTTTTTATTTGTCACTACAAAATAAAGGCAATATTATAATTCGTTCACAAATTCTATTTTTCTTTTTGCTTTTTCCTTTTTTTTTAATAATCATATATTCAGATTTCAAATTGAAAGACAATTTCTATAAAGATTACACACAATCATTAGAACCCCTCTTTTTCTTTTCTTCTTCTTTCCTAAAAACAATTATTTAATTATCATTTTTTATATGAATTTAATAGAGATGCATTAATATTGTAAAAATATTTACACTATTATAGAATAAAAATATATCATTCTATCATGTCATACAAATAATTTAAAATTTTAAGATACATGATCGTCGTTGATTAATAATAAAAGTTAATTTATACTGTCAGTACATCATTTATTTTCTATTTTTATATAAATTAAATACGTTTTCATATGAAAATTAATTCTTCAATCTGCTTATTTTATTTTTAAATAAATGATTTTAAATAAAAAATCATATTTATAAAAACTATTAAAATATCAAAAAATATTTTAACTCATTTTTCATAAACAATAATATTAGTTTGGAGGTAAGGTAATATAAAAACTATTAAAATATCAAAAAATATTTTAACTCATTTTTCATAAACAATAATATTAGTTTTGAGGCAAGGTAATACAAATACACATCGAAGATTAAAATATGATTAAAGTCACACAATTTTTTAAAAAGACACATTTCGAAAATAATTTTTATGAAAATTATTCAAAATAGTTTTAAATTTAAATGATTTTTTAAATTTTAATACTTAAAAAATTTATAATAAAATAATAAAATGCCTTAAATAACATTTTATAAATAATCATTTAAATAAATTTTTTATTTATAATTTTTTTTCTAAATCCTTCGTACAAAAGTTAAAAGTACTAAAACCACATATTAAAAATATATAACATTATAACAATCTTAAAATAAAATAAAGCTAAAACAGCATATTCAAAATTATATTATATAAAATTTTCATTCAAGAGTTCTAATACCACAACACTCTCTTGTAAAAGTACTACTATCACTATATTGCATCAATATCCATGCAATTTGAAACTATGAAATCTTCACTAATTATAATCTTCAATAATTTTTAGAGTAACCTACATAATTTAATCTAGGACGAATATTATGGTGACTAAATTTTGGATCACCATAATCAACAGCCTTAATCACCATAGCTTCACGTCTTCCATCATGTTCTTGAACTGCACCAAACACAATCTCATTTGTTTCACAATTCTGCTCATAGTAACTCGAAGGAGTAGTCGAAGAATACCGAGTTTGAACTTGCTGTTGCTGTTGATGTTGCGTCTGAGAATGTTGTCGTTGTTGATGACGATGATGTTGTTGTTGTTCATTATAAGCACTATTCAACATGTTCATGTATGCGTGACTACGTTGTGGAATTGTATTTTCTGTCTGTCTGTTTATCTGCGCTGACGTTGGGAAAATATTTGTTTCATAGAGACTATTATCTCGGGTTTTTTCCAACATTTCTAATTCCTTATTCGTGTATGGATATGTTTTTCTTTGCGTTGGTGTTTTAGTTTCCATATTAGGAGGTGGTTCATCTTCGTCCGGAATCACAAAACTTTCTTGCATTGGCCATGAATTTGAGTGTCGATTTGGATAATGATATTGTTGTTGATGTTGTTGGTATTGATGATATGAGAGTTGTTTTCTTTTCGATCCTATGAATAAGCTTAAAAAGATTTCACCCATGGATGAACTCGAGTTCACTAAAAGCCTTCCGAGAGAAACAAAGAAGCCTTCATCATGTTTATCGAATTCATCTTCATTTGGGATTAGAGGAGGCCTAACCGATTTAGGAGGAGGTCTTTGTTGCGATGCATATGGTGGTGTCGTTGTTCGAGTATGAGCTCTTGGTTCCTGAAAATAAAACAAGCTAGATTATCAAATTTCAAATTATGCGCGAACATATATTATTTAAAATAAAACTTCGCAATAACAATGTAAGAAGATCTTAGATGTAACACAACAGTTTTTTTTAAGTTGATAAATTACGCTTCTAAAACATCATCTGACTTCAATTCTCTATAATATTAAACCTCACGAAATTCAACTATATCTTAGGTAAAACGTTTTCTAATTTAATTTTTTTATTTGTAAAAATGTGAGTAAAACTTACATCTGAAAAAGAAAACAAATCTTTGACTCTCCTCTGCAGTAATGCTAACATATAACCAAAGAATCCAGCACAAACAAGTGCAGCTATACCTATAATATTGTTGATTGCAAACATTTTATATTAGCATGTCCCTAAGTATAATAAACAAAGGAAAATGCTAAAGATTAAAGATTATACTATATTTAATGTGGATTATATTCATACCTAAAGGGAAACTATTGTCATACTCATACTCATCATTAGTACTACTAGAAGTCATGCAATCATGTTGATTGAGTTGTATCTCTCTAATTGCATGGTTTCCTCTATCTACCACCAAAAGAGAACATGTACTACTAACATAAACTATATCAAAATCATTTGAAAATTTTGCTTCTTCACTTGGACCATCAACATGTCCTCCTACTTGGCCTCTTTTTCCTCCACCTGCAATGGTAGTTACTCCTATACAAAACACATTTCATAGAGTTAATATAAGTGCTTATAACATAAGCACTTATTGCAAAAGTGCTTATATGTTTAAGTTATTTTTTTAACCAAATATAAAATTAAATTAAATTTTTTTATAACCTAGAAGAGTTTATAAAAAACAAAATATAAATAATTAATCATACACCAAATAAAGACGACAGAGACACCTGATACTAATACCTTCGTCACTGATCTTTCTAATAGCCATATTCAATGTGTCTGCAACGTAAATATTGCCACTGTCATCAACTGTAAGCCCTTTAGGGTGGTTCAGTCTTGCATCTCTAGGCCTTCCATCTATATGACCAATATACCCTTCTGAAGATCCAGCAAGCAGCTTTGGTTTGCTATCTATTGTTCATCCATGCATTACACAAAATCCAAACCAAAAAAAATTATGGATTAATTTTCAAATTAACAATCATATATCAATAAAGAAATAATGGAATATCCAAAAGTGGAACCTTGAGCTTAACAAAAGTTCATTGTTTCTTGGGAGTGAAGCAAAGTCATTTGTATAAGGTATATGACTAAACCAAAAAAACATTCTTAAAGGACACACTTGAATTTTGAATCTAGTATATTTGCACAATGAAGCAAAGTAAAAGCCATAAAACAAATGTAAAATTCTAAATTTGATTCTTTTCTTCTTTTTTTTTTGAAATTGTAACAAACTAGCTATAAAAAATGATTTTTTTTTTCGCATTATTTACTTAAGACAATTTCAATAAAGGAAATTTACATCTTGACATTGGGCTTGAGATCTTGTAGACATTACTGTTTTCAGAATCCAGAACCAAAAATTCACCATCTGAAGAAATTTCAATTGAATATGGCTCAATTCCAAGCTTGCTTCCATCAAATATTGTTTCCACATTGTAACCACTTTCGAATTTCACCATGGATCGACTATGTTGAACTGAGAAATTATTTTTCATGAAATTAAATCAATGTTAGCACATTAATATAGTAACAGAAAAATTAGAAACTCAATGGAAAATACTAGAAAAATAATAATAATTAAATTAGTGACTGAAATTTTATTTGTTTCGTCACTAATTTTGATTTTTTTTAGTAGTGAGATTTGTACCAGTTGCTTTTGGTTTGGATTTTTGTGATTGTGACCATATCCATTTAAGAAGAGAAGAAACAACATTGGAGACAACTCCAGTAACAATTTCTGCATGTGACATGAAGTTAATGAATACTATATGATAAAATATAAAAATGAAGAACATTTATCAGAGTTTAGAGGTTGTTTTGTACTTACTTGCAGGTGGTGGTGTAGCTGAAGTTGGAGATAACAAACTGAGTAGAACAAGAAAAGAAAAAAGCAATATGAAATAATTCTTAGTCATTGTTTGTTTTCTTAGGTTAAGAGACTTAAAGAGCAACAAATTGTGAAATGAATTGGGGAATCATTATACTTCATGGATGGTGTCTAATATAAGCTATTTTGAGAGGGAAGAAAAAAAAGTAGCACTACCTTCTTTTAGAAAGAAAAAAAAGTAAGGATTTAAGAGATAGAATAATAGATGAGATAGAGGTTTTGGAAGAGGATTATAATCCAAACCCTTTTTTTTTTTAATTTAAACATTTTCATCTAATTGCATCTTTTATTTTCTCCAAAACATTTGTAAGAAACAGTATTTAATGGTATTGATATTGTTAATCATTTACCTTTTTTTTTTCAAATTTTATTTTAAAAACTAAGTTAAACAAATTTAATAATTGCAAACTTATTTATTGATCCAACAATACTACTGAATATTGTATTGCTCATGAAAGAGTACTCAATTAAATGCATCAAAGTCCATTCATAAAATGTCATCCCTTCTAGCTAAACATGTGCATCATTTTGGAATAGTGGCTAGATTACATGTATTATTGCTATTAAGAGTTTGATACGTCTATATGCAATCACTATAGGAATTTTCTTTTACTAGTTCTTCGAATCTACTTTTCACTCCATTCCCTTTACTTTTGTTGGTCAAAATGCAATCCTTTTTCTTTTTATTAGTAATAACGTTTAGGTTACGCTATTACTTGCAAATCATGTGGAATGTAGTGCTTTTTCCGTGAATCAGCACTTTGAATAATTTTCTACTTAGAACATAAGTTCAACAAGATTCATCCTAGAGAGGAGGAATATTACCATGTAAATTATTTCATAAACTTGTGACCCAACTTTTTTGTGTAGAAACTTTAATTATTACAATATTAACCATGCAAATCCAAAATTTGTTGCATGTGCCACATCATGGACATAAAAACAACAATGGAAAACATAAAATTCACTAGGTTCAAAATGTCAATTAATTTCCAGCAGATGTCGTAGAATTCTGCATGCATAGCTTCCACTCATTCCGACTCAAAGATCTGGGGTGTCTGTGCGTAGAGCTGATAAAAAAACAATTGAGCACTTTAATCAAAAATAATGTCCAAAATATAGGACACCAGAAAACTGCAACATTACTAATGTCCAAAATATAGGACACCAGAACACTGCAGCACTGCTAATGTCCAAATTATAGAACACCAGAGCACATCAATACATATTTTCTATATATAAATTACAACATAAGCAAGACAAGAATTGAAATTGAGTTAAAGAGGAATTATAACAAAATTATGATAAGAAAATGGATCATGTACATTATAACAACCAGTTAATAATCTTCAAGATAATGAGCTTCACAAAAAAAGAAAAGAGACATCATTCTGCTATTTATCTCAAAAAGTAAAAGATCTAATCTAGGGTTAGGAGTGGTCTGAGAAGTAGCAAATATCAGCTGCTCAGTCTCTTGTTTATTATCCAAGCAAGATGTGTCTAACAGATGCTTGAGCCAATTTTTTTCCATGGCGTATCTACTAGGAGTCAAAACTAAAAATATATAGTTTTTAGTTGGATACTGCTAAGAGGTGAATACACGTGTTAAAGGCGTGTATGATAAGTGTGTCAGTATCCCAAATGTGTCCGCTTGACAGAGCACTTTGGAAAGTTGTGTGTGCTTCATAGGCGAGTAGTTCTTCACATCGAACAGAAAATGATCCTCTCATATCAAGGTTGTGTTTTGTGAAGAAAAGGGATATACACAGACATAAAGATCCTAACAAAAGTTGCACCTAGGAGTCATATATATAGACTACAATTTGTCGTACCATAAGGTAGATAAATAAATGAGCCACAATCCATTCCTAGACTCAACATTTTGTTTGAAAAATCATTAAATGTAGCAAGTGAACCCAGAAAACTGTAATTAGGGTATGAAATGAAACATGATAGCAACTAGATTTGTATGATAAAAAGAAGAGAGAAAAGGGACAGTACTAGGTTTTTCGGGTTTGCCATCAACCCATTTCGAAAGAGAGAAATGGACTTTCTCACGAGCGATAGCTTCGGTCTTGTGAGGTTCCTTGAGGGCATTCCTGACAAGATTCGCGCATATGTTGGAGTAAGTTATGTATGTCATCCCCGCTGCCCTCCAGAACGGCACTGCTCCGGTTGACGCCATTGATTGATGATAAGCCCCCTGTTTGGATATAAAATGTTGTTTGAAAATACATAATAAGTTGTCTAGTTATGTAAATATCTAAATAAGACATGCGGGAGAAACAACGATATCAAAATACTCATATTCCAAATAGCACTTCATTCACAATAAACCATCAAAAGCTTTCAAAGAGCTACACCACAAACTATTACAAAAACATGTAGAAACCCATAACCACTCTAGAAACTGTAACAAATACTCAGTTCCCATGGAAATAAAGTAGTGAGACAAACCAATTTGTCTCACTACTTTATTTATATACAAAGAAGTGATAAATAACTCATTCATGACTTGATAAACATGTGGTTAAGATTCATGTTGATATTCCATCTAAATTCAACTTTGAAGCCAAATGCATAGTTACTGCTGCAAAGCTGGATTCAAGAAATGAATCCAAGTTGAACAAAGAATCAATTGAAAGGAACTATAGGACATAGAAGTATAAATCAATTACAATTTCATCAACAAAAAATTGTCAATTCAGAAGAATCAATTACGATTACAATTACAACCAATCAAACACTGGCTAAATCACATACTCTAAACCAAATTCAGATTTCGAAATTTCACATAAATGTAGAAAATCCCATTGAAACGAAAACGATATGAGAAACAAGCAAATTGGATCACAGAAAAATCGGAAGATGGAAGAAGAAAATCGAATAGAGGATAAAAGGAACATTGAGTAATTTACCTGAGTTGAAAATGAAGAGGAACAAGCTAGGGTTCGTTCGATTGGTGGTTGTGAGTGTTCAGATTGAATGCCTCAGGCGAGAGTTGCGAGAAGATGTTCGTTTTCGTCTTATTGGATCTTTAGCTTTTGGGAATTCATAAGCCCAAATATGCATTGAAAATTTTATTTCATACCCTTATAATTAAAATTCTTACCCCTACAATTTGTGTTAGCCCAATTTTCTCCATAATACTTTTGAAAAACTACTTATAGTAATTTTCTCAGTGAACTATCCTTACAAGTGTCTTTCACAATTATAACAACCACTTGTCATTTACTTTAGACCGAAAATATTTATGCAAGAAAAGAAAATGCAACTATAGTGCAACTAATTGGACCACTTTTCAATAAAAATAAATCTAGTTGGACCACAAACAAGCACTAATTCAATAGTTTTGGAGTGGTTTTCTGTTTAAAAATAAAAATAACAAATCAAATCAAATTATAATGGTTATTAATAGAGATTAATGGCAGTTAGTGGTCATTGTGGTGAAAATTAGAATGGTTGGTGATAGTTACGAAGCACAAACTCTCTGAATACGGTTATGATATTGACACGGAGATAACATTAATAATTTAAAAAAATAAATAAATTAAGTGTATTATAAATGTCAGTGCAGTTGTCTGATACCGACATGGATACTAACATATCTATTTTTCAAAAGTGTAAGTGCTACATAAAATTAATACTGATTGAATTGTTAATGACTTTGATGGTTAGCGATGATTGACAGTGAAGGTCAAGCAAATAGCCAATAATTGTCAAATTGATGACTAACAATGGATAAAGTGGCAGAAGTGGCTCATATTAATGATTTGGGGAGGTCGTAATGGAGGTTATAGAGGTAGTCAGAGGTGTGTATATTGAAAATCAAAGATGGCTAAAGTAATGGTGGTTGGTTGTGATAGGTGTGGTAGTCAACAATATATTTAAGGAAAAATACACTCGCATTTCTTGAGATTTGTTAAAATAACACTGACATCCCTTTTAATTTTAAAATATGCGATAACCTCTTTTAAGCTTACATATACCAACAATAATTTTTAGTGACCGACAAAAAAACTTAGGTAAATATCATCAATATTTTTTATTTTTGAACGTCAATAAAAACTATAAAGGAGTGTCATCTCAAAGAGATTAGTGTATATTTTAAAATTATAGAGGATTTCATTGTAATTTATTAAATTTTAAGAGAAGTGAGTATAATTTCTCTATATATTATCCACCCTTTGATATTCTTAGACACCCAGTGAAATTGCTTTTATGGCTTTTGCTTTCAGAGATACACGTTCGGACGCACCCTTTTTTTTCTTTACGCTGGATGCTTCCAGAGATGCATCTACGGTAAAAGTTCCGGAGATGCATCTCCGAAATCTTATCAGAATAGGTTTTTTTTTAAATCTGTCTCTCCCGCGGGTGAAAAAGGAGAACCTAACATGAGCCTCTCTGGTTTTATCCACCTCCTCCAGCGCATCTAGTGGATCAGCCCCAAGCTCCTCGACCAACATCTCTCTCGCATCCTCCTTCGTCATCCTACCGTGATGGAGGAGAGTGTCCTTGATTGGTATAAGTAGCAGATAGGAGATGCCATTCAGTGTGATAGTGAGCTCTTCGTGCGGTAGATGGAAGGAGGACGTCTCAGGGTGCCATCTTTCCGCAAAGCCCATCAGCATCTCGTTATGGATCACGCTGTAACTGATCTCACAAATGTCCTTCAAACTAGAGGCGGCAAAGACATCCTGGAACTAAGCCTCATATGGCTGCTCCAAAGATAATATCTTTCGCTTGTGGTTATAAAACTTATGCGGAGGAAGAGTCTGAAAATTTCCATAAATAAGAAAAAATGTTAATAAGAAACAATGGTACAAATTATAAATTTCCAATGAAAAAAAAGAAACAATATGAGTAATGTTACCTCTCCATCCCAAACATGCCTAGTAGTATGGTCTGCGTTCCCTATCAGCAGGGACATATCTGAGGGACCCCTTGGAAAACCCTCAGGCTCATCATCGTCGTCGTCACCAGCATCCTCCGGTGGTGGCTCATCACCCTCTGGAGGTGGCACCGGATCAACATCAGAAGGAGAACCAGGAGTATCCCGACGACGCCTGCGGGAGGATGGGGTCTGTGATGAACTCTCAGCTGAATCCCGACACCTCTGGGGTGAAGAAATGGATGGCGGGTGGGATACGAGGTCGAGGGAATGTCCTGGGCATGTGATGAAGAAAGATATGTCTCAACTGTATTGGCCTCGGTAACAGTGGTCTGACTCCGCTCGCGTCTCACAGATGCATGCTATGAAACTCGTCCAAGTCACAATCTATCTTCTTTGTCTGCCATAATGTCTGCAAGGTATAACCAATAAAAAACAATTACATACAAATAACTTAAAAAACAAAAATGAAAAATAAAATTAACATTTTTTTTTACTTCCGGATGTGAACTTACGGAAAACTTTCGTATATGTATCTACAAAAGAAGGAAAAATTCAGAAAGTTTGATTTGTTCTGGAGCTGCATCTACGGAATTGCCATAACGTTAATTTGTTTCGTAGATGTAGCTTCGGAACTTCCTGCAACTCCAATAGCAACGTCAATGGCGTCCCCTCCCCAAAAAAATCGGGTTTTCAACCCCTGATCATCTGTTTCAGCCAACAAACAATACCTATATTGTCTCTAAATTATGTTTCTAAAACTATCTAAAGATTTCTACCCCTAAAACTATATTCTAACTCGTTTACGAGAAATACTCGAAAATAACTCAGAAACTCGAAAACTTACCGATTATATCGAGCTTTGAATGAGTTGGAGTGTCTTAATCGTTGAGATGAATGCTCCTTGTTGAACTTAATTGAAAACAATTAAGTTTGGTGGAAAAAGTTTTTTTGAGGATTGAGAGAGTTTGGAGAGTTTGAAAGTGAGAAGTTGAAATATGAAGAATGAGGGAGGAGAAAAGACTCTAGCGCGAATATATTCTGATTTGCTCCGGAGCTATATAAACGGAAATATTTCATAAATGTAACTCCGAAAAAAAAACCAACATTAAGTAAAAAAAAAGTGTGTCCTAAAATATATCTACAAAAATAGGAGATATTTTTGAAAGCACATAGTGCCTAAAAATCTCAAAAAATGGAGTAAGAAATTCTCTTTTTTAAATAGAGAAGGGTGATAGGAGTGGTGGTCAGCTATATTTAAAATAGTGGTCCCCGTTACTAGTAATGACATCTTAGTGTCAAATATAAATTCTCTAATTACCTTAAAAATACTCAATTCTTAAAACATGTCAAATTTAAATTCTCTAATTATAATCAACTTAAAAGATACTCAATTCGTGAAATCCAAAACTTTAATTTTACAGCTATAAATATTGATTACAAAATCAACGGCTGGTAATCTTATTTGGATATATAAGCTCATACATCCCACTCACACACATACAACTAATAAAGTTGATTAGATCTTAATATATAATTAAAAAAAAAGTTAGTTATAATTTTCTTGCTTCTTTTTTATTGAAATCGAATATTTTTAAATATTCGAAAAATAATAAATCTTCCAAAACTCTCTCCGCTACTCGAATCTTCCAACAAAAAAACCCTCCAAAACTCTCCACCCCTCAATTCTTACCGGTTCCACCAAAATATCTTAATAACTAAAACTTAATCTACATTTCAATATTCATGAATGAAAAGAGCTTGATATGAAGGGAATTAGTCCCTACAAATACCTTATTTATGTACCAAGAAAATACAAAATGAAACAAAAACTTGGTAGCAATTTTACTCATAAAGAAACTTGAACTTAGAGTGTCACTATACAAAATGCCACCATTTATCTTGTATAAGGATCACTAGATACAAAACTAACTATTATTAACTAATAGCACTAGCCAAAAACTCATACATGATATATCATTCCTACCTCTAAGGTAGATGCATGAGGTAAACTTAAAGCATAAGCTGGTCCTCTAGAGTTTCTCCTTAAGAAATCATAACCATAATTTATAACAACTTTCTTTATCCAACTTGATCCTCTTTTTGCTCTCACATATGAATGACTCATTATGAATGCCATTCCTGCTTCCTTTGCTTCCATGAGTTCAACCAATTCTGCCCTTGTATCCATATCCATCCGCGGACTATCCGGCACAACGAACCTCACTCTCTTCTTCACTTTTTTCGGCGACTTAACTTCCTTCAACTCCGACGAAGTTCCTTCTATTTGAGAATTATTATCTTGATTGTCTTCCGAAATCTTTACTCCTTCTGAGTTTGACGATGAAGTCCCGACAACGGTCATCTTCGTATCGTCTTCAAAACTTCCTAAGCCTGAGCTGTATTCAGAAATGTCGGATCGGATAAACTCTGCTATGCTGCAAATAAGATCGTTTTCAAACTCCATGTCATCTTTATGAACGTCGCGGTAGCCGTATCGTGCTATGCACCTATAAAGCCTATATTCCTTTGGTCCAATTCTACCAACTAAGAATCTCTCTCGAGGTGCAACATGCGGTACCGGGACGGATTTGATGCATAGAAAGATTACAACTTGGTGAAAAGCAGGAAGATTGGTAACAAAATGAGAGAAGATAGCCGGAATCCCGGCTACAAGCTCGGTGTGTATTAGGCCAATACCTTTAACCCTTACGATTCCTAGAGTCGGGCCTACACCAAGGAGCCAATTAATAGGGACCTTATTTTGAACATCGAATTCATATTTCACAACTGTGCCGTAGTGCCATACATACATGATAATAAGAAAGATGAGTGAAAGAGCAATAGGGACCCAAGCACCTTCAAGGAACTTGATGAGTGAGGCAGAGAAATAGAGAGCTTCAATGGAACCAAAGAATACTAAAAAGCAAATAGCTACCCAAGCACTTTTGTGCCAACACAAGACTATAACCAGAGACATTAAGCATGTGGTCACCAGCATGACGGTTATCACAGCCAAACCTGTTTATCGAAAGGAAACAGATAATCATGATTATACACCAAACATATGCTTAAGATCTATGAAGCATCGACACAAGCATGGACACCGAACACAAAACTGATAGTAAAGATGATTGACCTCAAGGTGAAAACATAGAACAATATTGCACATCAATGTAGTCAAAGTTTTAAGATGCAATCGGATTGATGAACAACACAATAAATTATTTCATAATGATGGAGTTACCTGCTGCATTTCCGAGGCGTTTGGTATCTCGAAAACCAATTGTAACAGCCAGGCAAAGAAGCATCAAACTCCAGTTGATCTCAGGAATGTAAATCTGGCCGTGTATTTTGGAGGATGTATGAACAATTTTGACTTTCGGGAAGCATCCTAAAGAGGAACACTGTTTGATTATCGAGAAAGTTCCAGTGATGATAGCTTGACTTCCAACCACAGCTTGAAGTATGGCTATTGCAAGAACAGGCCATCTAAGTTTTACTAAAAAAAGGAGAAAAAGAAAAGTTAAGATATATATCTAGATAAAGACTAACCATTCTTTGAACATATGCGTGTAGAGAATGTCACAAAGAATCTACCTGGTACAGACACATAAAACCCGATTCTATAGTCAGTTTCAAGGGAATGATGCTTGGAAAGATACGCAGCTTGTCCCATATAGGCTAAGATCAAAGAAGGGTATACCAAGAAAGTGAAAGCAATCTGCAGGTAAATAACTTTCTGTTAAAACAGTTGATTATTTTCCATTTCTGCAAATAGTTGAGTAAGATTTTATTTTGAAGAAGGTCAAAGAATGTAAAAGGCCTGTTGATAGTTCTTCATATGAATTAATTTGGCTAATGTAAAAATGATACTTTACAAGATCATTGGCATAATGGTGCTTATACATATCTCTTCAGTAATGAATGCACCAAATGCACACATTGTGTACATACATAGTTACTTTGACTAATGATTTAGTGCATGTTTGGATTGACGGTGGTTATGGCAGAATCACATTGGACAACCTTAATTTTCGACATAATCAGTGTCACTGTAATTTCACCAGTCTCACCGCCAAATCAAGCATACACTTAGACAATTCATCACTTTCCATCCAACATTTGCTCATAATTAAGAATTTGAAGTGCCAAATAAAAGGCTTCACTTATGTGTGTACCTGGATAGACAATTGCGAAAAGTGTCCTAAATCAGCAAACATAGCTTCTGAGCCTGCAACGTCGAGCCAACAATATCAGATAAAGATCAAGCATACAGGAACACATTTTCCTTAACATAGGCCCAATTTGGATAAACAACACAATTAAGCGCTCATAGAGTAAGCGCTTATCATATACTCCATACCTGTTATGCACAATAGAATCCCTCCCAAGGACTTCCAACCTCCCGATTGAGTCTTCTTCAGAAATTTGAACATGTAATACGGAGAGAGAGCTTGGTAAACATGTGGATTCCAGTGGATTATATTATAAATACCAATAGAACTTATGCATATCAGCCACGTCAACACAACAGGTGCGAAAAGAGATCCAATACGGTGAGTGCCGTAATGTTGAAGCGCAAATAGAAATATCAGTATTATACAAGCAACCGGAACCTCCACATCTGCATAACCAAATTATACATCAGTACTAACAGTAGAAACAAAAGCAAATGTACACCTTAATTAAGCACTTATAGTTATAGCATAAGCACTTTTCCTATAAGTGCTTATGTGTATATACTATTTTTATAAAAAAAAAAAATCAAATAATTTCAAATAAGTTGCTATTAGCAGTGATTCAAATGACTTTTCTATAAAACAACAGAATAATCTTTAGAGATTTCAAACTAACAAAAGAGAAAAAGAAAAAGTTAGGTCAATATATAAAAGTGTAATTGGGGTGACTTCATGCTATAGTATTTGAACAACTACAATATTTTGAAGTTGACAGAATTAGGCCATAGATAATCATTATTTATAAATCAAAGTGGGATTACACACACTGTACATGATTAGTCTAATAGTGTCAATACCTAATTTTATAGCCAATCAAATAATCAATGACTTTTCCAGGTTGATCCATGTCAATTTATCAAATGAAATCCCATCCAAATCACAGTACTTTATATTATACTAACTTATAATCTAATGAAAGGTTAACTTTATAAAGGAATTAACTTTTGTTTTAATACTTGATCTTCTGATTACTAAACTTTACATCTTAGCCTCATGTTTTAAATATTCTAATCAGTTTAAGATCGATTACATAATCAATTACATGTTTTAGCACAAAAGGGACTTTTGAAATTGGTTCTCCATTTTCTTCCACTTATTTAAACAGCATGCAATAATAGGTAACATGAAAAGAAAATGGTTAAAAATAAGATTTCATTCATGCATTAAACAAATCGATTTTGATACCAAACCAAACTTTTTAAATGTTATTATTATCTTTAAATTATCTTGACAGCATATATGCCATTGACTAAGACAAATGCAATGTCACATTTTATAAGATATATAAACAATGAGGATTATTCTAAACTTGTAAATTATTGTAAGAACATATTCCCAAGAATTGTTCATGATACCAAACATTTTGATATATACTCATCATCAAAGTTGGATTCTGTGAAACAAATCAATTAGTTTAGCATCGAACAAAATAAAATAAAAAAATTGATGATTAAATAAAGAACTACAAGTTGTGTATTAAAAAATTGGACAGCTTTTTCCAGTTTACTCAGATTATCCAAAAGGCCTATTTTTAGCGGCAAATACTTATAGTAATAAAAGCATAATCTTCTTAAAATAGAAGCTAGATTAATATAGTATTGCATTACAATCGGAGTTTTAAAACCGAAACCAAAACGTTGAACCATTTGAACTATGAACTAGTCTTTACTATGGTTCCGATATTTCGGCGATGTATGCGATTTTGTCTTGGTTTGAGCAATTTAATGCGGTTGAATCAAACTCAGAGGTCTTGTTGGTTCAATCTCTTATTCGATTTTTAAAATATTGACTAAAAGTTTGAAGAGAAAATGGAAGGAACAAAAAAATTGAAAACAAAACTAGTTTTTTTTCTTCAAAAAGGAACTTACATTTGTGCTGCTCTTTAGACATGGAAAGCTCTAAACCTGAAATAGCAGAAAAAACTGCAAAAATGGCAAAAGACACAAAACTGAGTTACCACCAAGAACAAATATTTTCACTATTCACAATGAAATCACATAAAAACTACACTTTGAAGCTAACAAAATCACAGCGCCACAGTGATTTCACCAAACTCAATGTGATTTCAAACATGCGCGACACATATGTTTGAACAGTCGGGTTTGGCAAAATCAGGGTGGCTTGCTGTAATTCTGGCAATTTCACCGCTAGTCTAAACATGCACAGATTATTATTACTGTATCAGAAATAACAAATACCAGAAATTGCTGGTGTGAGAACACCATCACCAATAACCATGCATGTCCCAATCAAAGCAAGAACAAGAAGAACCCTTTGAAGCACCCTATGTTTCTCCAACAAAGATTTCAAGCCAGACCCAACATTTCTCTTATTGATTGCAGCAGTTCCATCCATTGTGTACTGTGTCAAATCCTCATCTGCAAGCTGTGTATTCGGCATCAAACTCACACGAGCATGTCTACATAGCAAAGAGTACAGAGCAAAAGTCCCTCCTTCACCATTATCATCAGCTCTCAAAACAATGAACACATACTTGAAAAGTGGAATCAGTGTCAGTGTCCAAAACACAAAAGACAATACACCAAAGATTTCTTCATTTGTGTCCGAATGTTCAATATCCTCAGCAAAAGCACTTTTGTAAACATAAAGTGGAGAAGTGCTTAAATCTCCATACACAACTCCTAAACTTTGATAAGCCAAAACCAACACATGCTTCCATGATTCCTCCTACAAAGACAGAAAAAATAAAGTCACATAATTACAAATAAAAGCAAAGATTTTTTAAGATATTTTTATATTTCTGAAATTCCAACATGACACAGACATAAACACAAACATGTTATGTTCCATCCTTACCTTAATTGTGTTCTTGTGGATCACAGACTCAAGATCCATGATGAGAGAATTAGAGTTTTTGAGAGCTAAAAAGAAACCATTTTTATATGAACCTTATGAATTATCAACAATCCCAATTGAAATAACAATTCATAGAGAAACAAAAACCGAAATTTAAGAGAAAAAGAAAAGTAGCTTTTGTTAATGACTTAATGGTCCAGTGTCTATGTATGTATATATGTATGTATACGTAACTACTCACTTTTTCTCTACTGTACTTTTCTTCAAATATTTTAATTTTATAATATAAAAAATAAATGTGTATTAGGGGAAAAGTGGCTGAACAAAAGAGTGACAAATGCAGACAAAAGAAGAACAAACACGAAACACAACAAACAATAGAGTTTAGAGAATGGTGGTGTGATGAGGTAAGGTTGTTGTTGGACAAGGAGCTTTTGAGAAATGGTGATTACAATAATAATGAGTGGATGGGTGGATGAGAGAGAGAGAGAGAGAGAGAGAGAGAGAGAGAGAGAGAGAGAGAGAGAGAGAGAGAGAGAGAGAGAGAGAGAGAGAGAGAGAGAGAGAGAGAGAGAGAGAGAGAGAGAGAGAGAGAGAGAGAGAGAGAAGAAAAGTGTTTGTTGCTTGGTGAAATGTTGGTGAGGTTTTAGGCTTTTGTTTGGAGTGTATATTTGGTTTTTTTGAAGTTATTAGTAGGAGCAACATTCATTTGTTATAATTGAAAACTTTAATTTTATTGAATATATTAATTAATATAGTAGTAATACATGAATTGAATTATATTTATCTACAATAATCTCTTTAGTCAAAACAAATATAACCAACTACTATAGTAAGCTTGTTTTTCCAAAAAAAAAAAAACGTTTCACATAATAATTATTAAAATTAACAATTTTAAATATTACTATATATACTATTCTTTAAGAAAAATATCTACACTGATCCCTTTAGTAAAAAAAAAAAAAAACTTTTTAACAAAATAAATTAAACTAATTACTATAATAAGCTTCTTTTGCAAGAAAAAAAAACATTTTACTATAATAATTACTAAAGTTAATAATTTTGAAAAATATATTATATTATTTTTTTAAGAAAATTATATTTATCTACACTAATCCCTTTAGTCAAAGCAAATCAAACTTTTTGACTAGACAAATTAAACTAATGACTATAATAAGCTTATTTTTTATACAAAAACATTTCACCATAATAATTACCATAAATAATAATTTAAAAAATATATTTTTTTCATTATAATATTAAGAAAAATATATCTATCTTTAATATAATATGAAACGGTTAATTTATATATATTATTAGTGATTTGAGATTGTATAAGGAATATTTTGGGGGTGATGAAAGAAATAGAGTAGTATAATGGAAAACAGTTGTAGTAGTATTACACGTGTGTGTGAGGATAGGAACAACGTTTGTTCCATGGTGAGAGGGAGCATTAACAATCTTCCAAGTCCCAACAGCCAGCGCACAGTAATTGCGACTACATACATGGAGTTACAATCACCTAACACTGACTAGTGACCACTTTCTTGAAACTGTCATGTCCATTTAATGTACTTATTTTTGTATTACTTTGTATATCTACTAGTATTCAAAATTAATATTTCATCCCATAAATGTAGTTTATTATTTAGATATTTAAAATAAAATATTTCTTTCTTTTGTTAAATGGAAAATAAGTTTATTAAGTAATGGTCATATTTTCTATCAATAATGGATTGGGTCAAGATTACATTAGGAATGTCTAGTAAGGAGACATGTTATTCTAAACATATGCATGTGGTAGATGTTATGTCTGTAGCTAAACTTAATTTGGAGAAGAAAGGTTAACTCACAATAAAAAATTAAGAAAATTTAATTAAGCACATATAGACTTTAATTTGGAGAAGAAAATAAATAATTTATTTATCCTAGTCAATTAAATTATATACTTAGAGGAGAAGCTATCTTATTCACTAAATTCTCAAAAACAAATATTATTTTTTATCAAACTGTTTTTCAATCTTTCTAACTCTATATATGAATCACACAAATTTGAATCGTTTGAAAGTATTTTTTAATCTCTCTTAGATATTTTTAAGGATTTTCCAAATTCAAATAACACACCGTTAGAAATTTATTCTTACCTCTCTAAGATTACCACTAGGGTTCTCAAACTATTCTCTGTCTTCAACTTTAAAGTTTTGAAGGTTGTGATAACAAAAATGCAAGGGCATATATTTATAATTGTTGAAACCCAACAAATTCATAATAATGCTAAAACAGAACTCATTAATGAATGGATCCACAAAATGAAATGAAGAAGCTCAAAACATATGAATTAAGAAAATTGGATAGGATGGCTGAAAACCTAAATCGTCAATACATTGGCCCAAACCACCGAACGGTCGGCCTCCACCTCCACCACCGATTTCTGATTTTCGGTGGCCATCTCTCATTGTTGGAGACCATCTGCGCTACCTATATGTGGTTTTGACACCTTATGCCAACCTCTTGGCTGTTTTTATGGCTTCTTGGTTTATGCAATCTCAAAATATATATATTTTTTTCTCTTTATCACTTAAGGTTGTAAGGCATACTTCAACAATCTCAACCTTGAATCACTATTGTGGTGATGCTAGCTTGACCATCAACCACCTTGTTGCTCTCTACCCTGTTGAACTATTATTCAACTACATTGATAATTCAAGTCACATTTGAACCTTGATCTTGCCACTTACATCTGAAAGTGAGAAAAATACATAAGAAGGGTAAGTTGAATTGTGTATGCCAAGACTTTCTCTTGCTCAGACCTACAACCTAAGTCTTCCTTTCTCAAGCAGCATCTGATCAAGACTTCCTCCTTAGATCTTCAGATCCTAAGGCTTCCTTGCTCAAACCCTTCAGATTCAAGACTTCCTTACTTATACCCTCGAGTACAAGATTTCCTTGCTTATACCTACAGTTTAAGACTTCATTGCTTAGATCCCACAGATTCAAGATTTCCTTGCTCAGATTCCTCGAATCTAAGACTTCAACGCTCAAGCACACATCAAGAGACTTGATCTAAACTGACTGTTTAGATAATGAAGAACTTACAACAATACTTGATTAACAATCAGAGGTGTTCAAATATAATACAATATACTTTAACACAGAAGATTCTTAAGTTATACTAGAATAAGAAATCTTAAAGGATTGGCTTCTCTTGAGCTGATACAAATGGTGTGAAGTGTGTGTATATTTTAGTTGTAGTTGCAGTGTTATTCTCTTGGTTGATCTTCAATTATTCTATTCATTTTATAGCTGAATAAATAGAGTCGTTGAAGCAACCTAACGACTATATTCAAATCAAATCTTTTTGCACATCTTCTTTTCGACTAAAGCAAGTGTTGGAACTCGTAGCCAAGGAATTACCCATTGAACAAGGCCTTTGTCTAGAGAATTCTTCTATGAAATAAGTACAACACAATCTTTTGAAGATAATGTTAATTACTCTCGAGTCCCGTGATTTTTGAGCTTGAGTTGACCCCCATCAGTTTCAGAGGCAGGGTTAGCACGCTTCTGATTCTGAAATATGCAAAAAAATATCTTTAGGGTCAGACTCTCTCACAAGAACCTAATCAGAACCGAACCATAACTTCTTCCGTGATAGAACCTGATTCATCAAGTAAACTGTATTTTGTACACATGAACCGGCTAGATAGAAATCCTAAATATTCTTCAAATACTTTGTTATCATCAAAACCTTAGAGGATACATGGTATAAACCAAAATTTTCTTAACAATCTCCCCCTTTTTTATGATGACAACCTTAAGTATTTTAAAACAATCAGTTGCAGATTAACTACTCAATAACTTTCAGGGTATGAGGTTTGTAAGCTCCCCTTCTGTCAAACAGTCCTAGAGGTGAGGTTTGTAAGCTCCCCCTGAGTCATATATGTGAAGTTTAAGAGGTGAGGTTTATAAGCTCCCTCTATATAGAATAGTTATATCCACTCCAAGATTAATCTTGTAAAATACTTAATTCATTCTCCCTATTTTTCATCAACAAAAAGAAAACAGAACAACAAACAAGTAGACTCTGAAGATTAATAATGGTTTGTGAACAATTCATTTTTAGACACCAGTCAGGAACAAGCTTGTGTATCAACCCAACTCATTGCACATGAGCAACAACACCTTACTGAATAATAATCATATAAAGGATCCTACCAAAAGGAATGAGAAAAGAAAATTCCTCACGAGATTTTAATATCTCTTCTTTTAGATAGTTGAATATGGTTTGAGGCAAGTTGATTTTCATCCTTGAGACTAGGAACAAAACTAAATATGTACCCTCAAGAGAAAGACATCCTAATCCCTTTTCTCCAGGGCTTAGATTGGTCCCCATAATTTGATACTGTACTTTTTCCATAGAAGTAAGAGTAGAAGGACTTGCAGCAGCGCCAACATTGTCGTAGATGTTGTTAACGAGATTCAGAAATCCATTGTCATGTTTGTATTCTTCAATAGTAACTTCATCCTCTTCACAATTTATTGCTTGAGAAATAAGTTTAAAGTTGATCACAACAGGAAAACCATAGACAATATATAGAATATGACAAACATCTAACTCATTCTGATGAACATGGGCATTTGCCCAAACTTCTTTCACATGATCTGGATGGATTGATCCATTAAGCATTGCAAAATATCTATCTCATTTCTAAAAATGAATATCTGAGGCAATCTGAGAAAGGTTAACAGCTGTCAATTCATTGAGGTCAACAATATATTCCTTCAGAATATCTAGATTATATATTTCTCCTTTAATGGTATTTGAATACATATTTGAAAAAGAGGTAAATTCAAGTAGAAAACAATGATTTTACAATCTATCTTATATAGAAGATAATACATTAAAATCGGGTAAATCTTAGATACAATCACATAACATATAGAATGCTAATTTATAATAAATAAGCAATAATGCATTAAATGTTTGGATGGTAATGAGCCTGGTTAAAACGAATCAGAATCTTTGTCACCACACTCCATCT